TGTAACGGTTGTTAAAATTTTATTTTACTTTATTTGATTTTATTTTTTTTATGTTAATTTATCTGTTTATTTTGGCTTGGACTCCGCGGGCGGGCTTTATTAGTTGTGAAAGCTTTTAATTTATTGATATTCAAATGGAGCGTAAATTGTAAAATCATATCTTGGAACAGGTTGCAGAACACATTTTTTTGGCAAATAATTTCCCGTTGTATTTATTAAAAAGTTGTGATGGCAAATAATATTTATTAGTGATATTAAGTTTGAGTTGTGCATTGTATGAAATGCTGAACTCGCTTCTGTCTGTTGAATTTTAGAAAGCGATGGAAATTTATCTTTGCCGGAATTGATATTATAAACGTCAATGGTGTGTCTATTCCTTGTTTATATCTACATTATTTGCAATATATGTTCAATAATATATTTTTTTATTTTTGTTTTTCAAAAAAAATTTAAATGTAATAAATCAACAGTCAACATATCATATGGGATTATCTATTTGTGGTGGTTTCACAAGTAGGAGGTTGTATTTTAACATCTATCAGACCTAACTGTCAAACCAAACATGTTTTGTTTTAGGCAGGCATTTGTGAAATTGAAGCGCTTAGCAACCGTACAATGCGGTAAAATTGTTAAAACCGTAAAATGGTGATTAAAACATGGTCACGTTTTATGCTTTATCCTCCTAAAGTTACGGTACACAACTACTCAAGCAATTGGTAAAATATGAAAGCAATTTCCGGGTCGCTTACAGATATTACAAGGCCACTTAAAGCATCGCTAATGTAGTCAAAGACCCGAATGTTCTCAAGAACTGGCAGCACATTAAGGCGTGGTTTACACTTTGTGCTGTTTGATTTCAAGAATTTCGTGAAAAGTATCGATCTAGTCTACTCTATATGGGTCCTGTGTCAACACAAGAATAAATAAAATACGAACAATAACCCTCTAAATCTTTCTGTTGTGAACCTAAGCCTGAAAAGCAAAGGCAAAGTAGGCGTAGTTCTCGTCAAGAGATTCAACTAGAAAGCCATTAAGACAATGTATATGAGAAGGAAAAAAATTCGTAAGAAATGTGGCTTGAATTCTGACTTGACAACAAAATTATTATCAGCACTTTCATAAAAAATATCACAAAGCACCGTAGTCAAACTCTGAATCCATTCCACACTGCAATCGGCAATACTGTGATGTACATAAGTGTTTGTCTGGATCGAAGATTGAGTGAGTTGAGTAATTCTCTTACGAAATCTACATTTGAAGCACTCTTTCTTGCCACCCGATTATTGTAATGGTTTTAAAGCCAATAATAGCCAATAATACATTCATCTGGGCTACTGTCTTCAGGAATATACAATACTTAGAAAGGTACCGGAAGAGGAACAACAAACTGGCCAAGCGTTGCAAGGTATCTGCAAGGGAATCATATTTCCTCAGAAAATAAAATTTAAGGAGATTATCGACTTCGGGAGGATTCATGAGGGCTGAAATTCAGTAACGTGGAATAGATGTTAGAAAAAGAGCGCATTTAAGCCAATATTAAAAGGAAATCATTTTGAATTCCATGTCATGTAAACAGATTTATGCTTGGCACTGCCAGAAATAGCAAATAAAATGTAATCTCTTTAAGCACAAAAAACAAAGGAGCAGTGTGAACTGAAGTTACAGACTTAATGTTTTCGTCAAGTTTTTTTTACAAATTTTATATCGAGCTTAACAATTGAAATACAGGGCCAAATGCGCATTAATCATAATGAGTTTCCATTAACAGAACGACAGGAAAAATAACAGGCCCAGGCGACTGTTTAATGGGACTTCACGGGGAAAATAAAGGGCTACCATTGTAATGATTGTATCGACGAAGAAGAGGAGGAATCTATTGAGCACTGTCTCTATCACTGACCAGCCTCGACATCTGAGCCAAACAAATTCCTCGGGAAACATTCTGCGAGTGGCACGCCGAGCTTGCCTTAGCAAAAATTGGAAATCTCGTAACTTTTATAAGGTACCTAAAATGATTGGAACATTTGGGATGGTGAAAACAGAAGCCTCACTATAGACCTATTGAGCAGCAGACGCAGCAAATTAGCTTAACTCAACTTGGTTCGCACCTTCTTTGGGTAGCATGAACGGAGGATATTGCAAGTGGATGAAATCAAATTAATAATAAAGGGTGATTTTTTAGATTTTATCTTTTTGGCAAAAATGGTTTGAACAGCTGACGCACGTTTCGTGTTTTTTATCACTGTCAAACATCTTCAGCTTGGTCTATAATTTAACCATGAATCGCCTTACAAACGAACAACGCTTGCAAATTATTGAATTTTCTATCAAAATGCGTGCTCTGTTAAGAAAGTTCATCGCGTAAATAAGCAGAAGCATTGCAAGAGCTACCAATCCATCTAGAGAAGGTCACAGTTTGGTGCGATTTATGGGCTGGTGGCATCATTGGACCGTACTACTTCAAAGATCATGCGAATCGTAACGTAACTGTGAAAGGTGAGCACTACCGTGAGATTATATCAAACTTCTTTTTAGTCCAAATACAAGAGCTTGACTTGCTTGACATGTGGATTCAACAAGACGTTGCCACATGCCACACAGCGCGCATAACAATGGACTTATTGAGAGGCGAGTTCGGTGAACATTTTATTTTACGTTCGAGACCGGTCAATTGGTTGCCTAGATCGTGCCTTTAGAATATTTTGTACTGTATTTTGTATGACGCATTGTATGACGCATTGGAGGACAACATTGAACCATTTATTCGTCAGATACCGGACGAAATGTTGAAAAATATATGCCAAAATTGGACTAAACGGATGAACCATTTGAGGCGCAGTCACGTTTAACATTTGCATGAAATAATCTTCAAATATTAAATTATATGGATCGTACTATCGATTCAAATAAAGATTTCATACATTTTTCTGAGCTTTGTACATTGTTTACGTTTGAAAATCTTTCCTTTAGCTCCTAAAAAATCACCCTTTATAATAATATAATAAATATAACTACCTTCCACCTACTTTTGGGTAAAAAGGCTTACATCAAAAACCACTGGACAGATAACCTAATTCGGTAAAATTTAATGTTTATAACTCCCTTGGGCGAGAATTGAATATCAACGTAATCGGGCGTTAACGACCTAACTTGTTCGTCTTTCGACCAATCGGTAGGCTTGATTAAATACCAGCCGAGTATCTAATGATCTTTTTCACCCGAAATTAGTCTTCCTTATTTGTTGTTTTTTTATTTTTTTCTAAAATCCGATCAGAATCGAGTTCGTACGATTTGGATCTCCGAAAGATGTGGGGGAATCCTATCGGTCTGGAGGAATTCGAACAAGAAGTAAATGTAATTCGAAGTGTAGAAAATCACTTCAGTAGAATCATAATACAAAACCGTTCAGTTAATGTATATTTCTTCAATTGGAACCCACACTTAATTATCCAACTTTGTTTGGCATAAAATTCGGCGTTGCTCTTTAAATCAATAACACTTAAAAACTTAAAAGCAAGTGTTTTTTAACAAACGAACTGAATCCACCAAATAAATTTCAAAAATCGGTTAAATGGGTCTTTTGGATATAGTTTTCAGATTTCGATGATTTTATGTGCCAATACGCACTTCAGTTAGCGTAAGAAGAAGGAAAACTTTTGACCCAAAGCCCCATATGTAGATGAAAAAATCTGTTGTGTGGTCATTGAAGTATTTATGACAAAAATCACATAAATGTTTAATTTTTGCCTTAAATTTCAGGCTTTCTTTACCAATTTATGTCAAATATACACCAACTTTTTACCATTTTCTAGGTGCATCTCTTACAGAAACCCTTTTAAGCAATCGACATTCACTGGCTTCTCTTGAGGCCAATGCTTCACCAGCCAAATCATTCGCCATAGACAGGAACAGATGATAATCACTTGGTGCGAGGCTCGAACTACAATATAAGGCGAATGCATAATGATTTTCCAACCAAGCTCTCGGAGCTTCTGGTGAATCACGATCGATAGGCGTTTTCCAAAGTTGTCCTGATGATATATAATTCTTCTTATGTTGTCTAAAGCTCATAGTGAAAAACCGCTACCAGGCCGTCATTCTTCGCATGGAGCCTCTTTGTGACGGCTCACTACCCTTCGACCGCGACGGTTTTCGTTTGACGTTGCTGCAAGTAATGGTCTTCTTATCAGCAGTCACAATCCGGTTTAAAAATGGGTAGATTTTTTTATGTTTCTGCAATATCAATACATCGGACTTCTTTGTGTATCCAACATTTTTGAAGTGATTCCAAATTGTTTTTTTTTTTTTTTATTTTTGGTTTGTTTACCCTTACCTCCTGGGCAGTCGGAACAGTGCTAGCATAACAGTCCGACTCAACGATTTCCATTATCTTATCGACGTTTACGACAATTGGACAGTGGAGCATCTTTTACATAAAAATTACCGGCACTCACATTTTCAGCTGAGAAATTTTAGAACAAAGCAATCTTTCTCTTTGCTTTCCCTTTAACTTTTTCAGTGCGAAATATCGTCTTTCTGACGCTATCCAGTGTTATCCATTCGCACTTAAAGAATGCGGGATTTAAATTACTAAAGCCATCATTTGCAAAAAAAAAAAAAAAATGATTACGTTTCAGTTTCTGAATTTCAATGCTAAAAAATGAAAATTCTGTCTTCTTTTAAAATTTAGGTTTTTTGAAAAAGTGAAAAAATGCTCTCTTCCCTTATTTATAAATAAGAAAGAAAAAAACTTTAGGAGAGCCAACAATGCCAATTCATGTATTTTGTAACACTTAGAATCAGAAATGTGAGAACGAAAAATTCATTTTCTGTTGAACGCTGTAATTTTTCGTTCGTAAATTTAAAGGGTGATTTTATAACATTTTACCCTTTTTGATTTAGTTAAGTTTATAGTCTTTTTTATTTCTTCTTCTTCCTACTTTTTAATTTGTAAAACATCTTAATTTGTTAAATTCTTTAAAAAAAAGTTTAACACTGACCTGAAGTGACCTTTCGTTTTATATATATTTAAAATGTTATGCTTTATTATAGAGATGTTTTCACCACATTTTTTGAGTCTGTTTTTGGTCTACCACATGACAGCTTAATTTATGTATTGGCTATTTGCGTTCCTCTCAGAGATGACTCTGCAATATTAGTTCTTCACAATTTCTTCACTTTAAATGGTTTACTAAACACTTTCGCGCAAATTTTTTTTCGTTTTTTTATGGTTTAGTTCACAACACTGGCGAGTCCTTTTAGCCAAAAACACATTCACTTTCATTACTTCACCCCGGCACCTTCGGTATTTACCAACAGCGTTTATTTGTAGCGTTTACTTGGAGCGTTGTGCAGCGTATTGGTCAGTAGTACGTCAGCTTGGCGCAATAACCATGAACCGACTGTTTTTGCCAATGCACTTCAGCGGCAGTTAAATTCAGTTACGCTCTCCAAAACCAGATACCACACGTCGAATAGTACAATAAAAGTTAATAGCAACAATAACAACAATAATAGTTCAAACATGCAAAACTAAACAAGCAAAGCAAAAAACTTAAAGAAAATAAAACTGTGTGGTAAAAGCAGCAAACAAAGCAGCTGTTGCTACAGTCTCGGCCACTGTTGCTGCTGTTGCACGCCGTGCGCCGTGCGCTAGGTGTGATAAGCAACAACAAAAATGACAACGTAAATCGTATGGTGGCGCAGGCGTTGACGATAATTTGCACACTGCGCTTGCAATGTATGGTTTAGCGCAGTGGCGCTGATGAGAAATTCGAATTCGAATCTGAAAATAATATTCATATTGACATCTGAGTGGACGTGCATTTTGTATGAGGAAGATCTAGATTACGATGGAAGTGTAGGCTGAGTTGCGCTATGCGTGTAATGCGCATATGCTAACGGAGTGACGGAAAATCTTAAAATTATTTTCCGTATTTTTTATAAAGAAACAAATAATTTTTACCCCCTCAGCTTAGCGCTTTCATGTCTAAATTGAAAATAAAATAATAATAAAAAAATATTATTACACAATTTTGGTGCAGCTTACGCTTTTATCAAAAATTTATATTACGTAAATACATATGTATGTACTAATATACGTTTGTACATATGTATGTACATATAAACTTTGCGTAGATATAATAAATCACCATTTGCCAATGTTTATGCCAAACTAACTGGTTTCTTTTACAAATATTTCGAAATAGTTGTACTCCTTGGGCAGCTTGAGTTTCCTCTCGTTAAGACAATAAAAAATAAATCAATAAAAATATAATATATATAAAAAGTGACAGAAAGAGAACAATGTTATTATTTATTTTGTTGTAACAAGTACGATATGCGAAAATATAGGGTGAGGCAAAAGAAATAATTTTATTTAAAAAAGAAAAAGCATAATTTTAATATTAATTTTAATTTTAATTTTAATTTTTATTTTAATTTTAATTTTAATTTTAATTTTAATTTTAATTTTAATTTTAATTTTAATTTTAATTTTAATTTTAATTTTTTTAATTTTAATATTAATTTTTTTTTAATTTCATGTGTAACCTCGGTTGAAAATATTTGAGCAAACGGTTTTCAACGACTTTTTCAGTGAGAAAATAAAATTTTACAATTGGTTTCAAAGCTTTTTTAGCATACTGTTCTTTTATTTATGGACTTCTCACCACCCTTTATATAGAATAACAATCTTTTCACATTTTTTTTTCTCGTAACGAATAAAGTATTCAATGTGTTGTGTCCAATTACACATTGTATGCAATTCATGTAAGCACTCAAGCATGTAGAATATCTTTAGACATAGGAGCCTACACATTTGTACGTTTGCATAAATATTCGCAGTAATTGCATTTTAACTTTCAGGTGATTAAGTTGAATTACTTTTTAAAAATTTTCCTTACTCTTTTAATTTCTTATGAATGTGTAGCCTTACTAGTTACTTGCGTCCAGTATTCATATAATATATACACATTTTTACGATATTTGTGATGGAGTAGATCGCATAAAATGTGTTTGATGTAGAAACCGTCAAACACAACAAAAAAAAAAAAAAAAACATTTCATATAGCGTTCTTCGAAGAGCAAATTTGTATGGGCATGAAGCATTTGGAAGGCATTGTTGCAGTGCAAACACAAGCAACATAAATTATATTTGAGCTGAGCTGCTACTGTGCTCGCCTCGCCTGTGCTCTCGAATGGCGTATATATAATATATTATATTTTTATATGAGAATTTTTTTTCATTTTTAAATCGTTTTTTAAAGTAAATTAAATAGTAAATTAAGCCAATGTTTAAAGGTTAATAAATACTTTGTTAAATCCTCAATATGAAATATCAGTCGTTGGATCATGTAACCGGATATCCAATTTTAATTACCCATGGATTATTATTATTTCAAGAAGTCGTTAATTGGCTAGTGAGAAATCATTTGCATTAACCACAAAATGCAGTTTTTGTACAATAACTGTTTACATATAATATAAGCACTTTGTTATACGCATACATTGTAGTTTTATATTCAAAGTTTACTTATCGCCTTAGTTCTGGCAAACGAGCCGCTGTGTTGATTAAGTTGTTGAAATGCACGTGAATGCTTTTCAATTACATACATACAAACATATTATTTGTATTTACAGTTATAACGCGCATCTGAAAGTTGTTGGTTGTTGACCATGTTTCTTACATTTATACATGCGTATTGAGGTCGGATTTGAATGCAATGACCGTACGATCTTGTAAGTTTTTAAATATAAATCAATTAAAAATTGAAAAATATGTTTTAACGTAAGATAGAGAATATATTGTTAATTGTTATGTATTTTAATATTAAAATAGAAACACTTATTATAAAACAAAATCCTTCTTAACGTCTGTCTGTCTGTTCGCGATAAACTCAAAAGTTACTGAAATAAATTATCATGCGGTTTTCACCAATATATAGGTCGAATTTTTGAAAAGGCTTATGTATAAAGTTTATTTTAATTTGAATTTGTTATAAATCTACACTCGCTGTGAGAAATGGCATATAAAAATATTTTAAGTCTTCCCATCTTAACAATCAAAACGGTCTCTAACCGTTTTCATGATTTTTCTATTTGAACCAATCGTTTGCGCTGATGAAAGCGGTTGGCGTTTAAATTTCTTTTATTTTAGACCTTAAGGCTTAAGCTATTTAAAGTGTTACATAGGTCTTGAAACTTCCAATAATTCTTTTTTTTTTTTGGATAATTTTTTGTATAAAAGTACAAAGTGTCAGGAATGTTTTTCCCCAGCTTCAAGTCGATCGAGACGAAACTGTAGAAATTAGAGAGTTTTATAAACCGCCGTCTTTGTCATGGCTTGACCGATGGCGAAACTTTACACGCGTTTTTCTGAAAAAACATTTTATCAAAATCGGTAGTCAAAAATTCTCAACGACATTGATAACGACAGAGAGTTCAAATTTTCCACACTTCCTTTAAGCATACTTTTGTAGTCCCTGAACGAAGGATTTAATTAATCTTTGATTTCAACTCATTTTACAAGCCAATGTGTGGACTAATTTTATGCAAAAAATAGGTTTATTGTAAAAAAAAATACTACCAAAAATTCAAATTTTAATTTTTTTTCGTTCAGGAACAAGGAAAATTTACCTACTGAAAGAAAAAATTTGGATTTTTGATTTCAGTTAAAGATTGAAAAAGTTATCATGACTACCGCGAAAGCACTTTCTTGTGAACGGTCTACTTCACTATTTATAGTATTTTCATTCATGAAATGTTGTCCACACATTGTACTTTTATATGTAAACGAAATAAATTGCATACTTTATTTAGTATTTTTTAAAAAAATTAGAGAAAATAAGCTTTTTTTTGCCTTCAAGACCAAGACCACAACCGAGATAAACATCGGCATATATTGAACTAAGTCAAAAATTATAAAATTTTGTTTATATCAACATTTCAATTAACTCTTTTATTTCATACATTTTCTTAACCTTTTTCAGGAAATCTCTGCCTAAATTCAGTTTTTAACAATTCCAATACATTTTCGAAGGGTTTAACACTTGTACGTAAATCACCATGAGGAATCCGCGTACAATTTATTATCCTTCATTGTGCATTGCGTCCTTGCCACCTGGTCGCAAATTGATTTTTTTTTAAATTTGCAGCAAAAATAATCAAAAAATATTTTACTGATGAACTTCTTGACTCACATTCATAAGAATATGCAAAGATTGTCTACACTCTTCAAAAAAATTAAAACTTCAAAATATTTTCGCATAAATTTTTCTCATGCCTTCATAAGCATATTTTATCATTTATTGTCTTAAGAAAATTATTGTATTTATAATAATAAAAATATTTTCCCCGCAAGTCTGTAATATGCTCTTTAGTTTATTACCTCAATAATCTTCGTTTAAGTTAATAGTTTAATTGTATTAAAATTTTTAAACCGGTGGCTATACTTCTCAAAAATTTCTTGACCGTTAGGCTTTTGAAATCTGTTTTATCTGATACCAGTTACAATATTTTATTTATTTTACCTCATTTTTCAGTTTAAGAAGAGTGGTCTACTCTACGAACTGTGAATCTAAATCATTTTTGAACACACTTTAACACAACATAAATAATCCTTACATTAAGCTCGGTGTAGCCATTCAGCTTACGTTCAGTCGTTGACATATTTACTCATGTAAAAGGTACGTACATAATTTCAAAACACGTGGCAACTCTGAATTTGACTTTAGTACTCTTGAAATTTCATAAAAAATATTTCACCATGGTAACTCAAATATGCTGCAAAATTTTAAATGGATTCAGAGAACCCTTTCTCAAGTTATAAGGTAACAACAACAACATGCACTTATCCATGAGTGTAAGTATATGAATTTATTTATATATAAAAATTTATGTTCGCTTCTAAAGATCGGCGTATCTAAAAAAGTCTAAAAGGTTTCTGGAAGGTTTTCTTTATGGTTCGATTCGCTTGAAATTCGGTACATAAATGCTTAGATTAACAGAAAGATTACTCCTCCACCCGGAAAATGGACCAGGTACAGACCTCTTTAAAAAAATCGTACTCTCGGTTCGATTTATTAGGAACTCAGTTCATTGGTGGGTTTTGCAAGGTTAACAGAAAGATTAATTTTCCTCAAGGAAGTGCGCCAGGTACTGACCTGTTAGAAAAACCCATATCTTTGGATAGATTTATCGTAATTTATTTTCTTTACGGAAAGTTTTTCGGCACATGACCGGTGATGGTACATAGGTTGCTCTATGCTTAGGTGAACAGGAATACTATTTTTCTTATCGGAAAGTGGACCTAGTGATAGAACAATTCGAAAAAATTGGTTCGATTTACATGACTCTATTTTCTTTACGCACTTCCCGTAATCTTTTTGGAAAAACAAAAACATATTCATGATTAGCATTAGTTAAATTTTTGGATGATATGCCTGCATGGAACATCTTTGTTTCTCTGGAATCAAGTTTGATTTGTTCAAAATATAAATAAGCGTAGGAGTGACCCACATATTCAAATAAGT